TGTGCAAAAGTGAGGGGATATATGATTCATGGCTGGTAGGTAGTCTTTGCCCCTTTTGTTCAGGCATTGGTTCTTAAGATTTGCTTAATTGATGTTTCTTCTTATACTAATGGACTCTTACAATACTAATCCTTTTGTGATTGACTTACTTCATTCAGCGGGTTATAGCTTCTTCCATATCATGTGGTGTTTCATGCTTTCATCATTGCTTTTTAGGGATGCATTGTATTCCGTTGTGTGCATGTACCATAGTTTATTCAAACTTTTACTGTTGAGCTTTTGGGCTGCCTCCAGTTTCTTGCTATTGTGAACTGTGCTGCTATGAACATGTAAGAGCATACCTCCACTCGTGTTGTCTCTCAATTCTTTAGGGTATATGCCTACCAGTGTCTTAGTATCTTTATTTTCCTTTTTCAAGTTATTTTGGCTTCACCCATATTTGGTCTTGTCTTTCACATCACCAAAAGTAACAAGTGTTTTTCCTGTCCCACCCATCCTTGGTCACCATAAAAGAACTTTACTTTCTGTGTGTATCCACTTCTGATACACAATATTCACCTTTTTGTGATTGACTTGTTTCACTAAGCATCCACGTTACAAGATGTATCATGATTCCTCATTAGTCTTTATAGTTGTGCAGTATTCCATTGTATATATATATACTAAAGTTTGCTTATCCATTCATCCATTGATAGGCACTTAGGTTATTTCCTTCTTTTTGCTGTTGTGAATAATGCACCAGTAAATATAGGTGTGCATATTCCTCTTGATGATACTGCACTTATATCTCTAGGCTACATGCTATATGGAGTGGGATTGCTGGTTTTGTTAAGATATTTTTATTTCTAGCTTTTTAAAAGATAGTTTTATTAGGGGCTCATACACCTCTTGTCACAATTCATACATATATCAATTGTGTAAAGCACATTTGTACATTCGTTACCCTCATCATTCTCAAAATATTTGCTCTCTACGTAAGCCCCTGGCATCAGCTCCTCATTTTCCCCGCTTCCTCACAACTGGTGTGCTTCTTCCAGGTGGGCCTTGTTGCTTCTGAGCTAGATGGCCGCTTGTTTACCTTCAAGCTTTAAGACCCCAGACACTATATCTTTTGATAGCCAGGCACCATCAGCTTTCTTCACCGCATTTGCTTGTGCACCTGCTTTGTCTTCAGCGATTGTGTCAGGAAGGTGAGCATCATGGAATGCCAGTTTAATAGAACAAAGTATTCTTGCATTGAGGGAGTATTTGAGTGGAGGCCCAATGTCCATCTGCTACCTAATTCTAAACCTATAAATATATGCACATAGATCTATTTCCCCATTCTCATATATAAATATGTTTACATATGTACATGCCTTTATTTAGACCTCTTTTGATGCCCATTTGCCTCCTAGTTCTTTCCTATGTTTCCTGTAGTTTCCTCTTGTCCTACTATCATGCTCCGCCTTCATTTGGGTTTCAGTAATTCCTCTTGGTTACATTATCCTTAATCCAGCCCTACCATGCCTCCTATATCCTCTTCACCACCAATTTGGATCACTTGTTGTTCCCTTGTCCCTGGGTTTATTAACACCACTTCCTTTCCCCGCACCTCCTCCTCTCCCATGTCCCCCTGGAACTGTCGGTCCCGTTGTATTTCTAGCTTTTTGAGGAAACATAATACAGTTTTCCATAATGGCTGTACCATACCATTTTATATTTCCAAACTATCATACAACTTTTTCATTTTTAACATTAAAAACATTTTTTACTAGTATACAACTTAATTGAGAGCAATCGTGATAACTGGCTGTACAATTCTACTCTTAATGCACTTTAAGCACATACATGTATTTTTAATTTTCTTATATTTGAAATGAACTTATAGGCCACTAAAGACTCCAAGTCCACTTCAGTTTTATTTTTCCTTAGCATGTAACTTACTAAGTGTTTCTCCTGAGTGCTAGGCACCAGAACACAAAGTCATATTTTCAAAATAAAAATGTCAAAATTGTGTCTATTGTGCTGTTTTGAAACTTGTAGCAGATTCCTACCAAACCAGTTTAGTTGCAATTCCTTACTTCCTCCCACCTAGCTGAGAATGTACAACTAGACCTGCTGAGCTGCAGTGAACAATTCTGTCTTCACCCTTTAGTCTGTAGATCTGTAGGATCTGCCAACTCTCCCTTCCCTAACCCTGAGGGCATTGTGGAGATTAACAATGCATTTCATTCAAAATGAAACATATTTTACAAAATGTCTGTAGATGGCAAGCCTATCAAAATTGTTAGTGTAGCAGGCAACTGTGTTTTATATATTTGGTTTCAACTTGAATCTTGTATTTTATTTTCCTAAAAGTTTATAATTCCTTTTTGCCTTCTTTGTCCAGATTATAATCAGCTTGATTTTACTCTACATGTAAATCCTGGTCTCCTTTTCCATCTAGATGCCTAATTTATCTCTCTACAAGTCTCACAGTGGAAAAACACTGAACCTAAGTAGTGATGAAATGGAAAAAGCTTGAGCTTTGGTGTTGGATGGACCTAGTTCCAATTCTGGTTCTACCAGCTTGTGTATCTTTAGGCAAGTTACTTAACATCCTGAGCTTACATTTCTTTTTCTGTATAATGGGGATGGCACTTAAGTTGTTAACATGTGTCTAGGACTAAATGAGGATATTTTTGCAAAATCCTTGGTGTTTACAAAAAACTACTTCATTTCCCTCTTGTAGAGGATCCCAAGTTCTCAGTATACATAAAAAATATCCAGGAAACACTGGAAGGAACTTGATCAGTTTTCTCCAAGAGATTCTGAATCATGTCCAGGGCATACCCAGGAATTTTGGTTTGATTTTGTTTTACCCCCTTCATCGCTGTGACTCTTCATACCTCAGAGTGGGTTTGAACTGCCAACCTTTCAGTTAGTAGATCGCATTTAACCATTTATTGCACCCAGGGACTGAAATCTGGCTTTTAACAAGCTCCTCAAATAATTTTAAAGAAGATGACTGACAGGCATACAAAATCTCACTACTCTTGGTCACAATTGTTGTTAGCTGTCTTCAAGTCTGTCCCTGATTCATGGCCACCCCATGTGCAACACGATTGCACATTATGACGTAGGATTTTCATTGACTTTTGGAAGTCAGTGTACTTTCTTCTAGTACTTTGTTCCAAGGCTGTCTTAGCCAAGAAGCTCTGCTGAAGCCAATATATTCAGCTTCATAGCTGTCCCTCCTCTGCTGACTGGTAGGAGTTAGGTAGTGGCTGTACATGAGGTAACATTGCCTACATAGAAGGTGGTGATTGTTGTATTGAACGGCCACTGCCCCCCAAATAGCTTATGACTATGGGTCAATCAGTTCTATTTTGGGGCCTTATGTTTCCTTAAATATAAAACAAATGGCTTGACTCAATCTCTACAGCTGTAAAATTAAGAAATTTTGGTCTTAAGACCTTATTTTTTAGTCTTGTAGCCCTTATGCCCTTCAAGTCAATTCAAACAGAATAGAACTACCCAATATGGTTTCCAAAGTTATAGTTTTTATGGAAGCAGGTTGTCAAATCTTTCTCCTGTGGAATGACTGGTAGGTTTGACTTGCTGACCTTTGGGTTGGTAGTTGAGTACTTAACCACTGTGCTACCAAGGCTTCTCAAAAGTTTAGTAAGGGTACTTAAATATTTTGCTTTTTTGGAACTCAGATTAGTCTTCCATCTGGAAAGATCCCAGTGGAGCTTGCCTTAAGCAAAATGAGTTGGTTTTAAACATAACAAGGGGGTTCAAAAAGTTTATGGAAAAATGAAATTAAAAGTAGTAGAATTTCTCCATGAACTTTTTGAAGTATAGAGGAGTACCTCATAGAACCCTAAGCCAGGACAACAGTTTGGCCTTAAAAATTGAGGATTAGAGCACCATAGGCAAATCGGGAAGTTGTCTCACTTTTTGTGCTAGTGTACATCAATCTTTAGCTTTTGTTGCTTTCCAAACTGCATGGTAGCAAATGGCCATAACTAACAGTTCCTGAGTTTGCATGGCCTCTATTTTAGAAAAACAGCCCACCTGTGGCTGGAATATGTTAATTCCATTGCCAAATTACCAGGAAAGAACTGTGATTGGTCCATTTTGAGTAGTGTGTCTATTTCTGATTGTAGCTAGGGAGATATGGCTCTGGGAACCTTGCCACTACTCACTCCATGATTGGAAGTGGTGGAGTGAGGCAGAGTAAGTATTTAGGACATTAATGAAAGGATCTCATTAATTGAAGAGTGACCATGTTCTATTTTGTATAGAATCCTTATTATTGATTCTTATGAGAACAAAATGAAGTAGGAGATCAGACTAAAAGAAAAAGTGGGCTTGTGCTTTTATTCTTACTCATGTAGCAGGTAGGAGGAGGAGCCTTCCTTCCATAGTCACTTTTGCTGTGGATGAATTGTGGACCCTGGCCTGTGGATGAATTGACAGTGGATTTTTAGATTGCCTTTGAATATATTTTCTTTTAAAATTATATAATATGTTTTGAACTGTCTTTGCTAACTTTGCTTTTTATATATTTGGACTCAATAAATTTTCAAGTAAAGAGAAAATTTTGAGGCTCTAAGGAGTATTTGGTAGGAGCCCAGCCTTTTCAATTATTCTTGCATTTTAATTTTCTCTTTGCTATTTAGTAATTATATGATTACCCTGTTTTGTGAAATGAACATAACAATTTTATTTCATGTGAATTATGGTATTTAAATACTCAAATCAGATTAAATGTAAAGCTCATAAGCCGTGTTTCTTACATAGCAAGTGATCAATGAATGATAAACATTTTTTGTTTTTATTGCTACGTGGAAATAATTGATCTTCATTTTATAGTTAAATACTGGTTTCACTTGGACTTGAAATCTGTGCTTTTTGCTATAAAATATTTTTTAGATTTGCAAATCTGGAAATAGAATGTAAATTTGTAGTGAGAGCTTATTGCTTTGCATGTTGATGGTTTTAATGAGATGTCTTTTCCATTTCTTGTTTAGTGTCAAACCAGAGCAGAAGTAAAACTCAACAAAAAATTATTATGTGTGGAGCTCCTTCTTAAAAGAAGAAAAAACGTGATTACTGGAACTATGGATCGGAGCAAACGGAATTCAATTGCAGGATTTCCTCCACGTGTGGAGCGCCTTGAAGATTTTGAAGGAGGTGGTGGTGGAGGGGATGGAAATGTGACCCAGGTGGGAAGAGTTGGAACATCCTCATATCGAGCTCTTATAAGTGCCTTTTCCAGACTGACACGTTTGGATGACTTCACCTGTGAGAAAATAGGGTCTGGCTTCTTCTCTGAAGTGTTCAAGGTAAGTGATGCCCCAGCTTTTTATATATTGCCTTGGTATTGGTCACCTTCATTGCAAAAGAGCAATAACCAAAATTCAATCCAAACCTATTGCTTTGAAGTTGATTTTGACTTAGAGTGACTCCATATAGGGTGAGTAGAACTGTCCCATAGGGTTTTCAAGGTTGTGAATCTTTACGGAAGCAGACTTGCCACATCTTTCTCCCACAGAATAGCTATCGAGTTCAGACCTTTTGGTTAACAGCAAGCATTTAAACATGGCACTACCAGGGCGCCTCAAAGGATTGTTAGCTATGTTTAATTAGGTTGTAGATTGACTGTGGATCTGGAGATGGGTTCCAGACACTCCTTTTTAAGCTATTTATTACATTTGATTTAAAAACAAATTATAGAAATCATGCATCCTAATAAAGTATTCAAATAACATTGGAGTTTCTTCTGTCTTTGCCTATCTGCCTTGGAAGAATTATTGCCAGAGTGCCCCTTAACGGCAAAGATGACAAAATTTTGTCTAACATACTTTGGACATGGTGTCAGGAGAGAGACTGATCTTTGGAGAAGGACATCATGCTTGGTAAAGTAGAGGGACAACGAAGGAGAGGAATACCCCAAGGAGATGGATTGAAACTGTGGCTGCAACAGTGGACTCAGGCTTAGGAACAATTGTGAGGACTGCTTAGGACCTGCCGTTGTTTCATTCTGTTGTGCATAGAGTGGACTTTGGGTACAAACTAACTCACTGTACATCCCAACGATGTACTTTCTTCAATAATTACCACTATTAAGATTTATTTACAAAGTAATTGTAATAATGCAAGTAAGTTCACCAATGTCTTTCGAATGCCCTCAAACATAGCATGTGTTCAATGTTTGTTGAATGAAATTCTGTTGCTCTAGTATGCTTTATTTGGAAGACAAATTTCTCAAGACTGTCAAATTTCTTATGTAGAGTTGTGCAGTGTGTGTAGTACACGGTGGTGACTGTTTAAGAGGCTGGGTAGGGCCTGAAATCTGTGATGTGTTTGAGTCTCATGGCATATCTCATATCTGTATCGATTGATTTTTCTTGGCACAAAGGTGCCCTCCACTTGACAAGGCCCAGAGCAATTTTTACCCAGAGGTGGACCTTTTCCTATTTCTTTTTTTAAAAAAATCATTTTATTGGAGGCTTGTACAATTCTTATCACAATCCATCCATCCATTGTGTCAAGCACCTTTTCCTATTTCACCTGCCCAATAAGAACTCCTTTTTCTAAGTCAACTACCCAGAGGTGGATTTTCACAGGAATATATTATAGAATATTATAGGCTCGCAGTAATACTGAAATTGAAATTATTATAAGTTTCTCTTTTCTTTTTTCATAGAGATGAAGAGAAAGGTTAATTCCTTATATTTTAATGTAAAGAAAATGTATTTTATATACATTGCACTTGTTTTTTACCCAAAACTTTGTGCTTCCATGCTTTGCACATCCTGTAGTATTTATGCTTTCTACCGAGACAAGCTTTCACTTGTTAAATACTTGGGTGATTTTCAATCCTCATTTGCTGAGCTCAGGTTTCTCTTCGCTATTAGTAACTCTTTTCCTGATATATGCCTTCAGGTTAAGCATTGCTTTTGTAATAGAATTACTTTACCATGCAGTGCTTTCTTTTCTTCCATAACTTCTTCCATGTTTGATTTTCCTTTTTAAAATTTGATTATTTTATTGGGGGGCGCTTACAAATCTTAGAACAATCCATTAATAGTATCATGAACCCTTGTACATATATTGCCATCAATAGTTCCAAAACAATTTCTTTTTTTTTTAAAGATCATTTTATTGGGGGTTCTTACAGATCTTATAACAATCCATACATTAATTGCACATTTGCCAAAACAATTTCTACCCGAGCCTCTGGTATCAGCTTTCCCCCTCCCATCCTTGTGAATCCTTGATCAATTACATATTATTATTGTTATTTCATGTCTTACACTGTCTGTTGTCTCCCTTCACCCACCTTTCTGTTATTCATCCCCACTGCTAAAAAGAGGAGAAATTTTTGGTAGGGAAGGCAAGTATCAATAAAGATGGAGAAAAACATTCTTTGGGAATAAATAATTTAGGAAAGAAGTTAATCCCAGATGTTAACTGTTATTAGATGACTGACAGACTAGACTTAGGGGTCATGGGGTGGTCTTGAATTCAGACAGAATCAAATACTCAGCTTTGCATAATCAGAAACATCATTTTGCTCAGTTTATGCTTAACAATTATTTCTTGAATTTCTGCCATGTGCATTGGAGTACAAATGTAAATAAGATCTATTTATAGTCTGAAGCTATTCTGAGATCTAATAAGCATCGCATATAAAGGGAAGTCATGAGCTGGACACTTTGCTAAGCCCTTTTAGTGCATTGTGGTAGTAGTTACATAATTTCATGTAAACGTGAAGATATATAAAAGTGTAGGGGTGGAGTCTAGCCTGTCATTCAGGTCAACACAGTCTGATGGTGACTCCTGTTAGGCATGACCTTCTCATAAGGAGGGTCCTGAGGACCTCTCCTCTCTCTCTTTCTGCCATCACCTTCCTGCTAGATGACCCTCGTGGTTGTAAGCCCTGTGATATGGCCACTGCCAATGGATCCATTGAATTTTGCACCCACTGGCCTGTGATGTTCCTGCATTCTACATCATTGCATTATGGACTCGTATCAGACTTTTATTTTTTTAACTATTAGTATCAGATTTATGGACTAATATCGGACTTATGGACTTGATCTGGACTGCACTGGCATGTTTGCTGGATATATAATTGCTTCTTGATATAAAGCTTTCTCTTACACATGTGAATGTCACTGGATTTATTTCTTTAATTAAACCGGCCTAACACATGCACTATACCATTTATTCATTCAATAATCTCTAAGGTTGTTACTATTAAAATTACCATTTTACAGATAAGAATACTGAATTTAGTAAGCTTGAGAAATCTCTTCACATGTTGAAGCTGGAATATGAACCCAGGCAACTCAAAACTCACTGCCATTGAATTGATTTCTGACTTATAGTGGCCCTGTAGGACAGGGTAGAAGTGCCCCTGTGGGTGTCTGACACTTCAAATCTTTATTAGAGTAGGAAACCAATGCACAATCTACTATGTCAACAGGGGTTCTTGTGAACTCAGGCAGCCTGACCGTTTTCTTTTAAGAAAGCATTATCAAACCAGTTTTATTGTTGAGAAAGTATTATTCTGGTTTGGTAGAGGGCCATTGAAAACAAAGGGAGCCCCTGTGTTAGTCTGGGTAGACTAGAGAAACAAATTCATAGACTCATATGTGTATAAGAAAGACTTTTATGTAAAGAATTATTGTACATCGAGAGAACATCCTAGCCCAGTCCAGGTCAAGTCCATAAGTCTTATATTAGCCCATATGTCTGATACCAATCTGTAAATCCCACTTCAGACTTGTGAAACACATGCAATGATGCTGAATGCAAGAATATCACAGGCCAGTAGGTGGATAGTCTTATGGATCCAATGACGGTGGAAGCATCTCAACACCGGCGTGGGTCTCCTTGTGGCTCCTCCAGGTCTAGGGCTCTCACTGCTATCAGCATAGCCCCATGTGTCTTGTCAGTAGAAAGTATCGCAGGGAGTGAGTGTGTGTCCCTCCCCAGTGAGCTATTTATCTCCTTAGCACCTACAAATGAGGTCATCAACCTGCGACCTGATTGACAGGCTAAACTCCACCCCTTCACTCTTAATACTCTCAAATTGAAAACAGATTATGTAAGTACCACAGTCCCCAAGGAATTGGGTTGCCATAATGGTCATATTGGACTCCAGTGTACCAATGATCGTGAAAGTGGCACAAAACCAGGCAATATTTCTTTCCAAGTAAAGTTGTCATGAGTTGGCAACTCAAGTGCAACTATGTTGTCGTTAAGTGCTATCAAGTTGATTCCAACTCATAGAGACCATATCTATGTATAACAGATTGAAACACCTCCCTATCATGACAGTATTCATCCCGGTTGGTGGGTCTCTCAACTATATTGCAGTGAGAGCTGTAACTTGACAGGACTCATTTGTTTTTCTACTTCTTGAAAGTTTCCCACCTTTTTCTATTACTCGGTGTTAATGAAAATGATGTATTTGAGCTTTCCTTCTCTGACAGATTTCCTTACACAAGTTCTGCTTTCTGTAGGTTATTCTGTAGTATTAATATATAAAGTGTTATTTACTTAAACACTAAATAGCTCCCAAAATGGAATACTCATTTCCATTTCCCTCTCTACTGTGTTAGTTCAGGCTATCACTAACTCCCACCTGGATTATAGTAATAGATTTTAAAAAATTATTTTTATTAAAGTATTTTTAACAATAGCTTTTTAATATATAATTATTAAAGTTTACCCTATAAATATTTAGTTTTGAGTATAATAAGGAAGTTGTATGAAGGCAAGTCAAAGTATTGCTACAAAATTATAGAAATTTTTAGCAAACAAAAATATTAAAATGTGAAGCTCTTATTGCTTGACGTATTCTCCATCTGGGCTTATATACTTCTGAAGACAATGCTCCATCTCTCTGAAGAATTCTGTTCTTTGCCTTTGATTTCTACCACCATATCAAAAGGTAGTTTTGACATTCTCAAGGAACTCAAATCATGTTTCCTTTAAATCTGGGGAATGAAAAGATGTCTGAAGGGACAAGATCAGGGCTGTAGGGTGAGCAGGGTAAGATTTCCCAATAAAATTCTCATAGAATAGCTCGTGCTTCCCTCACAGAATGAATAGCTATATTGCCAGAATGGAAAAAAATTCTTTGGAACAACTTTCATGACCTTTTCCTTGCCTGTGAAGTTTTTTAAAAAAATCATTTTATTGGGGCTCATACAATGCTTATCACAATCCATACATACATCCATTGTGTCAAGCACATTTGCACATTTGTTGCCATCATCATTCTCAAAACATCATCTTTCCCCTTGAGCCCCTGGCATCATCTCCTCAT